CTGATAAAGTATAGCTTTTGCCACTTTAATCATCTCCTGAGGTGCTGATACTTCAACCTTGCAGGGTATCACAGCCGAGCCTGGTCCTCTTTTACCAGAAGTCCAAACACATGCACTTTCCAACAGTCATTAGTTTTGGTCAGTGTTCAAGCTGAGGAACCCTATCTGATTTTTTACTGCTTAGCTCAGGAGTGTTGAAGTCAATCATAGCACCCAATTGCTGAAATCAATTTGCTCAGCACTCTCCATGAACCAAACTTATGACTTTTACATCTGTACAACTACGTGCTGCACTGGGAGGTGCCTTTGCTCAATACAGATTTATAAATGCCCAAAAGCATTTATAAAAGCTTTTATATGCCCAAAAGCCTTTATAAAAGAAAGCAGCACACATGCATAGGTAACTGTTATCAATGTAAGTGCTATACCTAACCACAGATTACAACCATGGATTAAGAACAGAAAGCATGGATTGAGAAAAAAAGTCGTTCAGCACATTGGCCTGCTCCTTTCATACAATGTTTATGGTCTGCCAAGTTATGGGCTGCACCCTTTTTATACACAACAAATAATAATATTCTTTACATTTGGTATAGTGCCTTTCACATCATGTCCCAAAGCACTTCACAGGATTTACTGTAAAGTTTTTGTGGGCAAACACAGCAGCCAATTTGTGCATAACAATGTCTCACAAGCAGCCATAAAGTGAATGACCAATTTTATTTGGGAGATTGTTGGCCAGGACACCAGAAGAAACTCCCTTCTCTTTTTGAAATACAGTACATGGAAAGTTCTGCAAAATTCCCGTCTGCCCATTGTACACTTGGGCAAAACACCACAATAGCTTAAACCACAAATGGCTGTTGATACCAACTCCATAATGATATTTAAAAGGGAATTGGATAAATTCTTGAGGAATAATATATTAAAGGTGTACAGGAATGAGCAGAGTATGGCTTATTTTTCTAGTGCCTTTAAACTTCTACAATGCCACAATAAAACTCTTACTGATTAACGTAGAACTTCCAAAAACTTATACATTTCAGTGATTTGTTATACAGTAGAGCATGCATCTTTTTCGCATTTCCTGGACAATAAGGGTACATAATGAATAAAATGCAAATCTGGACCTAAACATAGGCAAAAACATTATAAACTGTTGCTGGGTGGATGTGAATCAATATGCTATTTGAACTCTGTTCACAAAACATAAGAAAAGTTAGAGAAGGTCAAATAACTGAATTTGCCAATTAACTACTCCTCTCACAAAAGAAAATGATCAGCACCCATTCTCTGATTTTTCTGTTCACACTGTTTCTATGTAGCAATTGGGGGAGGGTTTGACTGGAATTTTCCATAAGACACATATCTTTTCCTTAAACCCTTTGTGCAGCCAGGAATGTATTTCGTACAAAGCCTGAGGTTCTCAGTGTTTGCTACTCAATGCAGAAGATCTATTTATTGCCTTGTAAACTTGGGGCTGACTTAATTCAATATCCTAAACAAGCACGGGCAAGATAAACCACTAAACCACATACCTCAAATGTAAAACTACATACACTCAAGGCCTTATATGAACATAATAGCTGGTTCGGTTGCTAAAATAGTTGATGAGTCATCTGGAACTTCCTCAATATCTGATGTTTGTCAAGAAATAATTGCTTAGCATTTGACGAAATAGATCTAACGCCAAGGAATTTGGTTTTAAAGCAGCAATGCAAAGCCTCATCAAAATCTGCTTGGCAAAAAGCTCTCTTTGTTCAGGGAGCATCCAGAACCAAAAAAGTAATTTTTGTCATGAAGATGACAGATGAAATCCATTGCAAATTGCACCATCGTTATTATGCACAAGTTAAACATTTGACAAAACAGTTGTTCAGGAAGTACCATGGCCTTTACAGAATTGGGAACCTCTCATGTGATTTACATCACCTCTTTTTATTTGCATTTGTAGCGAATTAAAATTGTCATTGGATTAATAACCAGGGGTGTAAAGAATCGGAAGTAAACACATCAACGGTTGACGTAAGTGATAAAAGCACTCTCCTAATATCCCACATTTAAGGGGTTTCACAGCTATTTAGTTAATTTCAGGTTCCACAATTACGATAGGATTCATTGTGGCCAATCTATTAAATATTTTCACCAAGAAGCAACTACTCTTCTCTGGTTCCATAATATTTTCGTTTAAGAGATCAATGGGATGGCGTATTACAAAAATGCTTCATGCTGACGAGAATTATATAAAACAAAATATACATTGGATTATTTCTGATACCCCAATATTACTAAAATTATTCTCTTTTTACAATTTGGAATTGTCTCCTTGCAAACTGTAGATTTTCTACTGTGTTCCTCTTCTGCTCCAAAAATCACCCATGTCTCAACATATTTGGATTGCTTCTCTGCAAGGAATGCAAGGGGCATGAGCAAAGAAGAAGAACATACCTGCCCAAGTGAACCAAATGTGTCTGGCTCAATTCACTTCTGTAAGGCAAGTGAGGGTTGTGTAATCATCCAAGAATGAAAACACAAAAGCATTGTTAAATATCTATATAAATTCTTCTAGTCTCATTCAAACATGAACGATTGATTACTTTTTGTCTGGAAAGCATGTGACACAATAACAACAATAATAACACTTGCATTTGATATAGCACTTTTCACATTGGGAGGATGTGTATTTATGTACAAAGAGCTTCACAGGATCAACTGCAATGTGTGGTGTCTGTGCACTCTGTAAGTGAATGCATAGCCATCATAATGTCTAAAGTACTGAAGGAGCCATTCAGCCAACTTTGTCTGTGCTGCTGAACAACTTTCTGAAAAGACATTTCTTCTAACTTTCCCTTTTATCTTCCTGTGATAAATCCTTAATTTACACCCACTTGTTCCTGACTCACTGATCAGTGGAAATACCCTTTATTTACTGTTCTAAAACCATTTACTAAACACTGAAGTGCTGACTGCCTGTCCCTAGTTGGGCATTTATGACATGTGGCACTATTTGAAATGTGAAGCGAGTTTCTCCCAGATAATTTAGTCATTCAACTCTATGTAGCTATCTATGTGTGGACAATGTAACATTTTGTGTTTTCAAAAGTTATCCCATAAATCGTCATTTTTAAGGTAAAATTCTTCAAGTGTTAGATTCATTATTTCAAATAAATGTCACATATAAACAACAGCAGAATCGAAATAAATATTTGACATTTGAAATTGTGCACACATGGCTGTGAACATTGATTAAGAACCTAAAGGTACAAGTACAAGCTATTGGGACTAGTGGAATGTGAAGCCAAATTGTACAAATTTGATGTGTGAAAATGTATGGTTCCATTGTTAGTTTTTTTTATTTGCAGAACAGAATTGTAAAGCATCCATAGTTACCCCCATTCAACACAAATCACATGGTAAGCCTGTAATCTGCATCCAGTAAGCATTTTGGCGTTACCCAACTTAGAACAAAGAAGCCTACAAAAGCATTACACAGAAAGATTAGATTATTGCAATAGCTTTTCCAATTCATCATATTTCTGAATTTCACAGTATATTACATAACCAGGATTTTTTTTAATACAAAAATGCTGCAAAATTAATGGGAATGGATTTATAAAGGATTAACATTATCCCAAATTATTGAGAAAGAATAAAGAAAAAATAGGATTTCTTACAGAGAATCTTATTTTAGAAGTTATGTCAGCATTTCCACAGTCTCAGCTGGTGTTGTTCATGACAGTAAAAATAATATGCTGTTATCATTTAATGGGTGATAAATACTTTGTATTTCACTTTGGGAATTACTTTAAATCCCAGAAGATCTCCACTGCTAACAAGCAGCACTGGTGTACAGAATCACTTATGGTGAAACTTGTTGAGGATTTCTCATAGTGAATCCTGAAATGTCTTCCTGACATGAGAGGCGCCATATCAAATGCAAGGACTTTTCTTGCGTTGTCTGACTTGGGAGATATTCAGTCTTCCTCTCCCGTCCTACTTATCTTTTCTCTCCTGACTGACTTGAGACATTGTGTGTCTGTCCTGTCTGTCTCAGGATGTTGTTTGTCTCCTGCCTGTCTCGGAATACTGTCTCTCTCTTGTCTATTTCGAGATACTATCCTTCTTGTCTGAATTGAGATTTCATATCTCTCCCGTCTGTCTTGGGATATTGCATATATATATCCTTATAATAATAATCCTTGCATTTGATATAGCGCCTTATCGTATCTTCGAGGCGTCCCAAAGAATATACCATAAAATGAATAAACTGTGTATTTTGTGGGCAAAACAAGGCAGCCAATCGCACACAACAGTCAAATGTGAGGATGATGATGATGATTATTACTGTCCGACTTGAGATTTCACATCTCTCCTGTCTGACTGCGGTCATCTGCTTTCTGGCGCGGAACACTGTCTCGCTTACGCCTCCTGCATATGACTCGAGATAAATAATGTTGCTCAGCTGCCTAACTCGGGACAGCCTCGTGTCCGACTCGCTGCGCTGTTCCTCACTGTCTTTCCTGGACATGTGGCGCCTATTGCTGTGCTCTGGGCTTGTTTGGAAGCATCCAGTTAACGCGTTGGAACCAGTTACGCTGCGCGTCACCCCTTAATCCCATAAAGGTAGACTTTACTTACACCAGCCCCCCCCCCCAACCCCCCCCCCCAACCACCACCCCCCAACCCCCCCCAACCACCACCCCCCAACCCCCCCCCAACCACCACCCCCCAACCCCCACCTCCAGCCCCCCCCCCCCCTTCCAGCCCCCCAAAGAAAACTATTCCACTCTTGGAAAAAAAAAGCGCAACACAAATACCCCGAGAACAGACCCACATTTGAGCTGTGAACCAGAACCACGAGCCAAGACACTGACCAGCGCCGGCAGCTTCCCAACTTTTCCCACGTTAGTGAACTGCGGAGCGTCTCATTAACCGCACGGAGCGATCTGGCCGGTTGGTGCCTGTGCGAAGGAGAGGCGGACGGTCAGGACGGCTCTTACCTGTGGGTCGCAATGATGTGCTGGTGGTGGTACCCGCGGGCGGTGCTGGTGTCGGCTCAGGGTAGGGAGGGGGTGGGGGGTTCCCCTCTGGTTAGTGGGACTGTGCACACTTGGGTCGCTCTCTGCAGCTCTGTGTGTGTGTGTGTGTCCAGTGCTCTCACTCTCTGCAGCTCTGTGTGTGTGAGTGTGTGTCCAGTGCTCACTCTCTGCTGCTCTGTGTGTGTCCAGTGCTCACTCTCTGCAGCTCTGTGTATGTGTCCAGTGCTCTCACTCTCTGCTGCTCTGTGTGTGAGTGTGTGTCCAGTGCTCACTCTCTGCTGCTCTGTGTGTGTGTGAGTGTGTGTCCAGTGCTCTCACTCTCTGCAGCTCTGTGTGTGTGTATCCAGTGCTCTCACTCTCTGCAGCTGTGTGTGTGTGTGTGTGTCCAGTGCTCTCACTCTCTACTGCTCTGTGTGTGAGTGTGTCCAGTGCTCTCACTCTCTGCTGCTCTGTGTGTGTGTGTGTGTCCAGTGCTCTCACTCTCTGCTGCTCTGTGTGTGTGTGTGTCCAGTGCTCTCACTCTCTGCTGCTCTGTGTGTGTGTGTGTGTGTCCAGTGCTCTCACTCTCTGCTGCTCTGTGTGTGAGTGTGTCCAGTGCTCACTCTCTGCTGCTGTGTGTGTGTGTGTCCAGTGCTCACTCTCTGCTGCTCTGTGTGTGTGTCCAGTGCTCACTCTCTGCTGGTGTGTGTGTGTCCAGTGCTCTCACTCTCTGCTGCTCTGTGTGTGTCAGTGTGCGTCCAGTGTTCTCACTCTCTGCTGCTCTGTGTGGCTGAAGGTGTGTCCGCCCTCCTGTCACTCCGGTTGGCTGTGCTCTGGGCTTCCGAGGAGGGCAGGTTGTGGCTTTGCTTCTCTGCTCCTCCGCGCACACGCAGTGCTCTGCTCAGTCACTGTCCTGTCTCTGCACCAGGGCTCACTCCCTCCCTCCCTCCCTCTCTCCATGGTTTGGGGGCTGACAAACCCGCAGAGTTTACAGCAAAACTGTGCCAGAAGTCTGAGCTCAAGCTCTCAAGAGCAGCAAACAATCCCGGATCAACTGGGAGGAGGCAGCAGCAGCAGCAGTTCTATTATTTACTGTCCAGACCCACCACCCACCCCGCAATTTATTAACACAGACCACAGACTTTCTAATACGCCCCCACACAAATTGCACAGTCAATTCACTTTGCAGGATATTTTGTGAAGCGCTTCGAGCCGTCTCAACTGATGTGATAAGACGCCATATCAAATGCAAGGATTATTATTATTGTACATAGTGGAAAGTTTTTGCAAAGGTGCTTGCTTCCTCGATTCTCTTTATTTTTTCTTGTTTTTATTGCACGGCAGGCTTGGCAGCATCTGGACAAAGATAACGTGGTTATAATTTTGGGCGTGTTCAAGGTTTCAGCGTCCAAAAGTGTCTCTCTACTTTCTAAACTAAAACTCCCTTTATTTTCTAGATGGCAAATGCTATGCCAATCTGATTGATCCATAAGTATGCCTGTCCAAACACATGAACAAGAGTTGGTTGAGGCCAGGAGTTGACAGGCACCCATGGAACACAAGCACAGTAAAAGGAGTCAATAACTATTAATTTTCCATGGCTCCTCTATAATCTAAACATACTGCAGCAAATGGAAGGGCAAATTATAGACCAAGTACGTATGGATGCTGAGGCATGAAAATGAGATTTAATGCATTAGCTAGATCTTTGTTTCTGTTTTGATTTTAACTGAAGAAAATGACATTAAAAGTACCTATAAGTTAAATATAGGATTTAAGTTTTTTTAAAAAAAAGTGATAAGGAATGATGGATAAAAAGTGACGACAGTCATTCCTGAAGCACTTTAAAATATGATTTTACATGAAGGGCAGCCGGTGAGTGCTAGTTGTTATTTTGACAGTGAGCTTTACTTGTGTTGGGGGTGACTTTAGAACTGTAATCTATATTCCCATTGCTAATCAATAGGATCACTGCAGGCTGAGAAATGACAATGAGGTTTATTCAGATAGTGTGGGCTTGAATACCCTCTCGCACACATGCAATCGCATTAAGTCCTCTGCTTGCTGCCCTTAACCTCCCTTTCAATTCACCCCTCCTAGAATAATACAGTACAATGGAAACTACAGTTGGTGCATATGCCATTGGCTAATGCAAACATCTCTATACACTCTGCGAAAGCTGTCAACTAAGTTTATTTAACTTAAATTCTAAAGGGATAAAATGTCAGTGCCACCGCCTATTCAACATTCCTGCTTTCCATTCATCCATGCATTTACTAACATCTAGGGAATTGTCCATAGTTTTAGCAACTGTGATTTTGTGATATAAAATAGGGAATATCAGGATCAGTTTGAAAGACATCAGTGCGATTTCTCAGCAGATGAACAGCTGAATGGTAAGTGAACCTTTTAGTTCCCGACCTGGATTACAATTATTCTGCCTTTAATCAAATGTTTCCAAAAAGTGACTCATAGACTGGCATTAGTAGCTGTGTTATGCCCCACGTATTATGCCAAGAGAAGGCTTGAGTAAATTTTACATCTATTTAGCATACATTGTATACATACACAATTCTAATGCTCACATGTCAGCATTATGTGTCTGTGTGTATGTACAAACATATTTATTTTTAAAAACAATTAGGTACAAATAGGGTAGCTCTATTAAATCCACGTGGACATAGTGCAAATTATGAGCCCACATTATGGCACCAAGCCTCAGTCTAAATGAGATACTGCACTAGTATAACAAATACTGTATTCACACCAGTTGCACTACCAGTAGGAGCCAGAGAGGCCATCTGGACTTTGCTCTGCACAACAGCTGCCCAATGGCATTTGGCCTGTTACCAGGCAATTCCTGAGAGAGAAATGTTCCACTAATCAGGAGACTGGGAGACCACTTAACATATTTTCTCTCTCTGTGTCTCTCATAAACATATAGCATTTCTAAAGCTTTTTTTCCCCCCCAAACGATTAACAGTACCAAAACCTCTCATCTTTCCAAGAAGTAATAGCTTTGCTTCACCAGATCATAGGAAGCTTTCCAACAGCTATTGACAGATGTCCCAAATATCACAAATAGAAGAGCTCTTGTATTAATCAACATAACAGATTTGTCAAATTCTAAAATCCACTGGGATCCCTTTATTTAAATGTAACATCCAAAGTTCATATTTCTGGATTGACCACCTTTCTGTTTTGCAATAATTATGTTGAGCTTTTTACACTGCACAGTATTAAGGGTTAAACAGATAATGGAAGCATGGCTGAGATTTAACTGGATACCTTAACATCAACAGTTGTATGTAAAATAAAGGACCAGATATTTAGCAACATTTAAAAATACAAGAACTTTAACAAAACAAATTCCTATTCTGGATTTAGATTGGGTGCTTAATATAGGTTCTGACTTTTAATTTATTTACAAATGAAAGAGCTTTGGTTCATACAACAGGGCTCAGGGAATAAAATTAAACCACCCTGTAACTTTTTGAGGGCGGCTCTGATTTGAAGGTTTTCTTCTAAGTTGGGTTCTTAAGTCAACATATTTTCTTTGTATTTTGTTATTGGGAGAATTGTTGTTTTAAGCAAAGGTGGGAAACATCTAGGAGGTACAATATACGTTCAAAGTACTCGTTACAACACAAAACAAGTGATTTCTACTCTAAACAATAAATTTCTGTAGCTTCACCAGATTTCGCTTGCTGTTATGTTCAATGTGTTCATTTAATTGCAGTCTTTGTCTCATTGGTTTAAATCTTTTGCAAATCTGCCCAACCTTAAATTTACAAATGATCATTTTAAAGCTGCAACTACGAGATATATTAGACATCTGATTTCTATCTGCAAAAATGCACTTTAAGCCTCAATGCATTAATTGTTGAATAGCAAAGAGGCACAGGAATTCTGACCCATTTTTTCCCTTTTCTTACTAGTTCAGGAATAAGGACATAAATCATAGATCCTTCACTGCCACCCCAGTGAGCATTACATAATGCAGCACAGACCAAGGATTTACACCTGTGATCTTCCTGTGCTGTTTAACGGTAGGGAAAAAAAGAATATTTACTACAAAATTTATGTTGGTGATGTAAGGATGGCAATGGAAAAGGTAAATAAAGTCACATGCACATATAAGTTATAGCTTCAAGGGAAAGATTTTCATGCCACCTAATAGAATAGCAGCAGTAGCCAGACTTAATCCATTGTGTAGGCTCCAACCACATATATAAATAACATTGGAAGTGTTTGAGCGACAGGGGAAGCAGTTTGAAATTTGAGCTAAAAAGCTGCACCTCTGCTGAATCGTATATTTACTGTCTGCAAAGCCCAAAGTAACACAGAGTGAACATTTTATGATTTATTTTATGTTTAAACCCATTTTTGGGGAATGTTTTTGGTTGTAAAAAAATATTGAATGTAACAAACATAACCCCCAAATCGTGTGCCCTTTTAGTAAGCTCTGATATTATTTTCAACTTGCATGTGTTGTACTTTTCTTTTTTCTTTTGGTATTCCTCATTTTACCAATATTATAAAATAATTACTGCAGTCATTTCTCCTCTCAATGTCCATTTGTTCTGTTTTCTATTCTTAAACTGGAAGGCAGGCTGCCAACCCATTCCGAAGCCTCTGTCAATCTCACTTTGAATTGGCCACAACAAAGTAGTCGATTCAAAGTGGCTTCTACTTTAATTTTGTCTCTCTATAGACAATTATCTTCACTGAGGTCAATTCCTCTTTAGATGGGACAGCTGTAAGCTTAAAATCTTGCTGTTTGATGAATTGCAGGGATGAACCTGCATTCTATCACCTGTGACATATAGTGTTCATATATTAAGATGCTGTGGCACATGATTATTTTTACTGCCCAATTCTTTTTAATCTTCCCCCTTTTTGTGTGGATTTATTTAATAGGCCTTTGTCATGTACATGTGACAATAAGCTGGAAGTTGCCTTGTGCTAATAATTGGCTTTAGGGAGCAATAGACATTAGTCAGGCAGGTGATTGCTACTGATATCAGCCAGAAATAGGTACTGATCTTGAAACTTCTGGTTTATCAGCAACAAGTACAGAATTCTTTCAAATTGGGCTGTCTTCTGCATCATTGGACCCTTGGTATTTGTTTGTGATG